AGTCTTTAGAAGCTTTAAAAAAAGTGTGTTGTTTATATACCGCCCCATAGAAAGCACTCTACTCTCTGGACAGTTTACAATTTAATTATGCAAGCGGCACATTGCCCTTCCCTCTTTTACAACCTGGTTACTCTGTGCCAGTCTTGGAAGGATGGAAGGCTGAGCCACCTTGAGCTGGCTACCTAAATCTGCTGGAATTTTGAAGTTTAACCATTGTGCCTGAGGCTCTAAATAGATCAACAGACAGAATATGGATCTGCATATTAATTGGATGGGAATTTATTTTATGTTGAAAAGAAGTGCCATTTATCTCTCTCCAATAATAATATAAATATATTTGATTGTCAGCATAGCTGAAGAGTATGAAAGCTAAACACCTGGAATTTGGCATGCATATTTAGAGGTCAAGGTTGTCCTTTGGTAGGAGGTGCATGTCTAAAGGTGCCAACACTGCTGACTCACAGACAAATACATACAGTAGATACAAAAATTTTACACACCCGTTAAAATGTCAAGTGTCTGTGATGTAAAAAAAGAGACAAAGATACCATATTTTTCCATGTATAGGCCCCCCAATGCATAAAACGACCCCCTAATTTTGACCCTTGATGGAGGCGGAGGAGCAGTTAATGGGCAACTGCTCCTCCACCTCTGTCACTCCTGCTGCTGCTGTCTCCACTGCCCACCCGATGTCCTCCTCCAGTGTGACTGCCGGGGCTCGCCTCCAGCTCACGTCGCCGCCTTGTCCCCTGCCCTAAGGAGACAATAGCTGGAGGAGGTGATATGGCGGTGGCAGCAGAAAGATGTGCCTGAGTGCACTTGAGTGCTTGTTTGCCTCTGCCTCCTGCTGCCTCTGCCACCAGAGGGGACAAGGCGGCGGCTGAGCTAAGCCCCATTAGTCCCACTGGAGGTGGTGATCGGGCGGACGAGGGAGGCAGAGCAGCAAGAGGCACCCGAGCACATGTGACTGCTCTTTCGCCTTCATCTCCACCTCCTGCTGTTGCTGCTGCTGCCTCAGCCAGGCCACTAGAAGGGACAGGCCGTGAGTTCTGGAAGAGGCAATTGGGCGGCGGCAAGAAGTGCCCGAGTGTGTGTGCGACTACCTCCTTCCATGTATAAAATGACCCTCAATTTTTCCTCTAATTATTTTAGGAAAAAGTGTCATTCTATACACGGAAAAATATGGTAAGTCATTTCAGAACTTTTTCCACCTTCAACGAGACTTAGGTGGGGGGAAGTAAAAATAAAAAACTGAAATAATATGGTTGCATCTGTGTGCACACCCTTAAACTAATACTTTGTCAAAGCACCTTTTGATTTTATTACAGCACTCAGCCTTTTTGGGTATGAGTCTATCAGTATGGCACATCTTGACTTGACAATATTTGCCCACTCTTCTTTGCAAAGATGCTCCAAATCTATCAGATTTGTGCACAGCCCTCTTCAGATTACTTCACAGATATGCTATCGGATTCAGATCTGGGCTCTGGCTGGGCCATTCCATCACAGACACTTGACATTTTAAGAGGGGTGTGTAAACTATTGCATCTACTATAAACACAATCCAACATTTTCCACTAAACAAGGGAGCGATTAAAGCAAGGTGGATAAAAATCAAAAAAATTTTAAAACTAAATCACAATTTAAATTTAAAATATTTTAAATCGTGATTTAAATCTATTTTATTTAAATCAGTTTGAAATACATCAAAGTCAACCTAGATTAAACTTGGTAAAGGTAAAGGTTCCCCTTGACCATTTTTTGTCCAGTCGTGTCCGACTCTAGGGGGCGGCGCTCATCCCGCTCTTCAAGCCATAGAGCCAGCGTTTGTCGGAAGACAATCTTTCCGTGGTCACATGGCCAGTGTGATTTAGACACGGAACGCTGTTTACCTTCCCACCGAGGTGGTCCCTATTTATCTACTTGCATTTGCATGCTTTCGAACCGCTAGGTTGGCGGGAGCTGGGACAAGCGACGGGTGCTGATTCCGTTGCGTGGATTCGATCTTACGACTGCTGGATCTTCTGACCCTGCAGCACAGGCTTCTGCGGTTTAGCCCACAGCGCCACCACGTCCCTCAGATGTAAAAACAACATATATTGAACACAAGATCAAATAAATCACAATAAGACAACATGGCACGTTCTGTTTTTCATCTACACTCTTTGGTAGGCATCCACATCTTTCACTTGTGTCAGCCTTCCTTCCAGTCCTCATCTGGGTGTCTCTTCTTGGTGCCTTCCTAAATCTCTTTTGGGGAGATAAAGGTTCCTTATTCTTTAAGCCCTATTTTCATTTACACAGTCTCTTGGTGTCTCTCTCTGCACTGGCCCTCTTTCAGGAATCTCTTCAGCCGATGTGTGTTGTGTGTTTAGTCGTTTAGTCATGTCCGACTCTTCGTGACCCCATGGACCAGAGCACGCCAGGCCCTCCTGTCTTCTACTGCCTCCCGGAGTTGTGTCAGGTTCATGTTGGTTGCTTCGCAGTCACTGTCCAGCCATCTCATCCTCGGTCGTCCCCTTCTCCTCTTTCCATCACACCTTCCTAACATCAAGGTTTTTTCCAAGGACTCTTTTCTTCTCATGAGATGGCCAAAGTACTGGAGCCTCAGCTTCAGGATCTGTCCTTCAAGTGAGCATTCAGGGTTGATTTCCTTTAGAACTGATAGGTTTGTTCTCCTTGCAGTCCAGGGGATTCTCAAGAGCCGCCTCCAGCACCACAATTCAAAGGCATCAATTCTTCGGCGGTCTGCTTTCTTTATGGTCCAGCTCTCACTTCCATACATCACGACAGGAAAAACCATAGCTTTGACTATTCGGACTTTTGTTGGCAAGGTGATGTCTCTGCTTTTCAGATTTGTCATCGCTTTCCTCCCAAGAAGAAGGTGCCTTTTAATTTCAGGGCTGCTGTCTCCATCTGCAGTGATCATGGAGCCCAGGAAGATAAAATTTGACACTGCCTCCATATCTTCCCCTTCTATTTCCCAGGAGGTGATGGGACCAGTGCCCATGATCTTAGTTTTTTTGATGTTGAGTTTCAGACCGTTTTTTGCACTTTCCTCTTTAACTCTCATTACAAGGTTCTTTAATTCCTCCTTCAGCCGATAGCTTTGTGATATGTGGGGCAAGCCAGGTGGAAAATGCAAACTCTTGATGATACTGCACAAACATCCTTCCAGCTCCATCCCAGTCAACAGCTTGATCAGGCTGTAGCAGAGCAGTAGGGTCAAACCAGGTTGGAAAAGCTTTTGTGTCAGTCTCTCTACCAGCACTCACAATATCTTTGGTGTGTCTGAGAAGTTAGCTCCCTTTTATCCTTCAACTGACAGTTGAAGATCGATCTATTCAGGCAGGCTTTTAGTAAGTACAGCAGAGTCTCTGGATGCTGGTGTTTTGCTTTTTGAGTATGCTTTTAAAGTTTTAACAGTTTTTTAAATTAATGGATTTTTAAATTACTAGCATAGTTTGTTTTTTAGTCAGTAATTTATTATGTTTTACTATTACCTGTTTTAATGTTGTGAGCTGCCTTGGGCCCCTTTACTAGGGGAAAGGTGGCCTGCACATAATGCTAAATAAATACAGTTGTGCCCCGCTTGACCACGAAATCGCTTGACGAAGGGTTTTTTTGACAAATGATAGTTCCTATGGGTTTTTTCGCTTTGTTGATTAGGTGCCTGCTTCGCAAACTTTTTGTTCGCAAAATGATGTTTTTTCTGGCTCTGCAAAATGGCTTCCCTTCGCAAAATGGCTTCCCTCCCTTCGCAAAATGGCTGTTTTCTGGACAGAAGCTTCGGAAGACCGATTTTAAACAGCTGATCAGTGGTTCTCTATGGGCGATCTTCGCTGGACGATGAGGTATTTCCCCATTGGAACACATTAACCGATTTTCAATGCATTCCAATGGGGTTTTTTCGCTTCACCACGATTTCACTTAACAGCGATTTTCCTGGAATGGATTATCGTCGTCAAGTGGGGCACCACTGTAAATAAATAATAAATAAGTCTAGTTGCTGCAAGCCTCACAAATGGAGGCAACCCTTATCCTGGTTAAGACTGTCAGTAACATTTCGGTAGATATTGAGTTTTTAGTGGTTGTGGTTAAATCTGTAATTATGAGCTGTCTGCAGTCCTGTTAAGGAACTACGCTTGCATGACTTCATGTTATCCAAGTGGTAGTGCTCAATCATTAGGGCATAAGTTTCTTCTTCGTGGTCTCTGTGAATGCACACAAATGAGTCCTGCGCCTGTGCAAGACTCCTTGGAATATTATAGAGCTTTAAAACACGTGATTAGTAGGAAGTTCCTCCATGGAGCACATGCTCTGTCAGTCAAAAGGTCTCTCAGTTCCCTTTAGCCGCCACTGAGGTTAGACTCCTTCACGACAATTAGAGCAACTTTTTCACTTGTGATCTTCAGATCTTCTCTTTGCCTTCTAGGCATCTTCAATACTTATTGTTTCTTCATTGGATGTTTCCCTGTGAGTTTCATTCTCTGTTTTCCTTTCTTTTTCTCTCCCCCTTTCCCCCGCATCTCCCACCTTTTTATGGCCCCTCTGGGCCCATTTAAACAGTGCATTTTATGTGCCAACAAGACCCCCCTCTCCAATGGCCATGATCATTGACTTTTTTGTTTGGGAGAGCAACACCAAACTCAATACTGCCCAGAGTGTAAGAGACTGACGAAGCCTGCTCCACCTGCAGCTCCTTCGGTCTTTCCTGTGGGAGAAATCCCTCAAACCCGACCCCAGATTTCTTACACCCATGGAACCTACATCAACTCCTGTTCTGACAGACCCAATGTCAGCCCTGATCACTCCGAAACAGAAATCAGCTTCCAAATCTTCGTCGAAGTTGAACATTGACCTCGAACCCACCCTTGACACAGGTTTGAGAATCCTCACTGAAACGGAGGAAAGATCAGGCTAAGCAAAAGAAGGTTAAATGCCCTTAGAAACCTAAACAACCTCTCAAGTTACCTTCTCATCACTCTTCCGTCCTACAGAGAAGTGGCCATTCTGACTCCTCGTTGTGACAAGCACCACTTCACAAGCATCTGGTGAAATGACACCATCTTTCGCCTTCGTATCGACAGCCTCCACATTGGGAGAGTTATTATATACATAAGCCTTCTTGACATCATCCACCTCCAGACTACCTGGAGACTTACTATGGAGACTGTGCTTGAGGTCAACACAGAGATGATGACACTGACCCATACTATGGTGCTTACTATTATGAAGAACCAAAGAGGGTACGCTACGCATACACCTACTGCTCTGAATCTTCGCCCTCACCATCAGTTGTAAGAAATACAACTGTTGATTAATGCAATTTAAATGTGTAAAGTGATAAGATTAATATGTGTTATATTATAATTAACAATAACATGCATGCATAGACTAGGTAAAAGAGGAAAAATAAAGGGGATTTAAATGTATAACTGAGAAATGTATGAAAAAAATGGTTTGAAAAGTGCTAAGTAAGTCGTACATTGTTCATGAGGGTAAACCACTGTAAGTTTTATCCCATGGACCAAACTTTCCAAGGGGGGAGGTATGTGGTGGAACCCCCACATCATACCTGTCCATCATGGTGAGCTCAAGGGCAGGAGCCTATGAGAGGACAGGAGGGGCTGAACCAAGAAGAACAGTTAATTAGTTAGTTAGAAAGGGGTTGTTGGAGAAAAGAGGTTGGAGATAGGGAATTGAACAGAGAGTTAGGAGATTGAATTGAGGAAGTTAAGAGAATGCTAGAGTTAATAGAAAAGAGTTCAAAACTGCAGTGGTGCCCTGTGTGATGATGATAATCCATTCCATAGAAATCGCTGTTTAGCGAAATCATCATGCGAAAACCGTTTCCCAATTGGAATGCATTGAAACCTGTTTAATGCATTCTAATGGGGAAAATGCATCGTCGTCCTGCGACAATGTATTTTCACCCATAGGGAAGCCATTGCGAGTGCCGATCAGCTATTAAAATGGCTGTCCTGCGAAGCATGGGTCCTGAAAACATAGGGAAGTGATTTTGCGAAGCCACCGATTAGCTGTAAAAATCGTCTTGCGGAAAAAATGGTCCGCGAAGCACGGACCAAATCATCATCCACCGAAAATTGCCCATTGGAATCGCTGTTTTGCGAATCGCTGTAGCAATCGCAAAACCTCATCATCATGCGGATTAGTCGTTTTACAAGGTTGTCGTCTAGCGAGGTACCACTGTATAGAGAATAAATAGGTAGTCAAAGAATAGTGTAACAGTGAATAAATACATCTACAAACCAACGTGAAAGCAAGTGATATTTAAAGAATAATACTATACATCTCTGATTTACTCCTGTGATTTGCATAACACCTATAAGAATAATAAATCTGTTGTATTGGCAGCATGTGTCTAAAATCTATCTATTTGGTATTGAAGGAATAATACCTGGTGGCAGCGTGAAGTGAGGGAATGCATCCAGAGGGTGGACTTGTGTTTAGGGAAAATAAACAAAGGACACTGGGTGGACGTGACACTCCCTTTTCAACCTTTCGCTTTGGTCTTGGCCCATGAGGCTCAGCGTCTCCTCAGCCTGATGGCCTTAACCACATTGGTGGTGCAACATGCCAGGCTCAAAATGTGGTCCCTTCAGGCATGGCACCAGTCTTTGTTCGACCTGCTTACAAACCACCCCTCAAAATTCTTGTTAGTGACTCTTGGACTGGCAAACCAACTCCCCTGGTGGACTTTCGTTCCACATCTCGCTGTTGGTTCTGCCCACTCCAGGTGACTACAGATTCCATCCCTACAGGTTGGGACGCACACTGCGGCAGCCACAGGATCCATGCCCTGTGGTCAAAGACAGAACAATAGTTCCACATCAATTACCTGGAGCTGCTTGCCGTCATCAAAGCTTTCCGCACTTTACAATATCTCATAGTGGGTCAGGGAGTTCAGGTTGCCACAAACAACATGACTATCCTCATGGTGAGCTCAAGGGCAGGAGCCTATGAGAGGACAGGAGGGGCTTGGAGCTGCTTGCCGTCATAAAAGCTTTCCGCACTTCACAATATCTCATAGTGAGTCAAGGAGTTCAAGTTGCCACAAACAACATGACTATCCTCTACTATATTAACAAACAGGGAGGCATGCATTCCCTCTCCCTTTATCTCTCAGTTCAACTCTGGGAATGATGCTACACTCATCGTGTATTCTCCATTGTGGTGCATGTTGCTACCAAAGACATAGCAAACCACCTGAGTCGCCTTAATACTTGCACTGGACAATGCTGTTTTCCTCCAGCTTTGCCAGAACTAGGGGACACCCACTCTTGATTTCTTTGCTACAGAGCACAACACAAATTGCAACACATACTGCTCCCGAGCAGGAAAAGGTGCAAATTCTCTGGGAGATGCATTCATGGTACGTTGGAGAACGGGCCTCTACCTCTTCTCTCCCATTCCTCTCATCCAGAGACCGGTGATCTGACTCCGTCAGTTGCAATTTGAACTTTCAGTTAACCGTTGGCCAGCAAAGAGGATGCTTTTCTGCTACCTCGCTCGTCCAAGCGATTAGAGAGTGGATAGGGAGAGAGTCTTCAGACTACAGTACCTGGTACTGTACAGACCTGCCTGGTACTGTACTGTATGGACTGTATGTATATGTGTATAGGCTTTTTTAAAAAAGAATTGATTTTTGGATTTTTGACTTTCTTTTTTAAACAAAGAGACTGCCTGTTCTGGGTGAGTACACTGTATTTATTGTACTGCACAGGTTTTTTTGCAGCTTGGGGGGGGTAGGGCTAGGTGTGGGGGTTATGTTTCTGTGCTCTGATGGGTCTTGCAGTGTAGATTTTAGTTTTAAAATGTGTGTGGTGAAAATGTGGCTCTAAAGTCTGTTTTAAAATCAGAAAATATTCTGTGAGAGGCTGTGGTGGTTGTAGATGCAGGCAGCCAGGCAGCCAGGCTTTAAAATGGAGTTTAGACTCAAGTCTCTTTCCCCCCCACCCATGCTCCCTTTTTGTGATGAAGAGTTCTGTACTGGAATAATGGTTGCTGATTGTTCATGCAAGCAGGCTTTAAAATGGAGTTTAGACTCAAGTCTCCCCCCCGCCCCACCATGCTCCCTTTTTGTGATGAAGAGTTCTGTACTGGAATAATGGTTGCTGATTGTTCGTGCAAGCAGGCTTTAAAATGGAGTTTAGTCTCAAGTCTAATATGGTCTTGGCTTTGCAGTCAGAAATATTCTGCTAAGATCCGTTGTTCCGCCTACTATGGGGAGTGAAAGAATCCTGTTTCTGCAGCTCCACTCATCAGCAGGACCGGTCACCCTCATTAGTTCATATGCACCAACACTGTCATCCACAACAGAAATGAAAGACACATTCTACGTTGATTTGGCAGATACTATCAAAAAAGTCCCTCAGAGAAAGCCACTGTTGATTCTCAGAGACTTTAACGCTAGAGTTGGTGCTAATCACAATTCTTGGCCCACTTCTCTAGGCCATTTTGGCATTAGAAAGATGAATAAAAATGGCCAATGGTTGCTGGAGTTTTGCTATTATTATGGTCTTTGTGTTAGTAACATGTTCTTCAATACGAAGCTTCAACACAGAGTTTCCTGGAGACATCCAAGATCCAAGCATTGGCATCAGCTCGATTTGATCCTCACTAGACGTTCTAGCCTTCCTAGTATTACGGCCACACGCAGTTACCAGAGTGCTGATTGTGATACTGACCACTCCCTGGTGTGTAGTAGAGTAAAATTGCAAACAAAGAGATTGTATCACATGAAAAAGGAAGGGAGATCACGTATTGACATCAGCAAGACTCATGATCAAAGAAAAGTGGAGGAATTTGCCCAAGCGCTTGAGGAAACCCTTCCAGGCCCGGCTGATGTAAATGCACCTGGACAATGGGAACATTTCAAAAATGCTGTGTATATTCCAACGATTATTGGCTTCAGCTCTGCTCTCAGATACAGATAGCAGCAGACACAGGTAACATCAAAGGAATGTATGATGGTATCAAGCAGGCTTTGGGTCCAATAGAGAAGAAATCTGCTCCCTTGAAGTCTGCTACAGGCGTGATCGTCCAGGACCGAGCACAGAAGATGTACCGTTGGGTGCAGCACTACTGAGCTATATTCCAAAGAGGATGTAGTAACTGAAGAAGCATTAAGTAACATTGAGTGCCTAATTGTCTTGCAAGTGTTGGAGAGCAAACCAACCTTAGCAGAAATAAAAGCGGCCTTGGATTCCCTCGCCTCCGGCAAGGCACCTGGAAAGGATAACATCTCTGTTGAAGTGCTAAAGTACCATAAAGAGATTACCATCACCAAACTGTATAAAGTATTTCGTCTTTGGTGAAGCAAAGGTGGAGTACCACAAGACATGAAGGGTGCAAACATCATCACATTGTACTAGAACAAAACTGACAGATGCGACTGCAATAACTACCGTGCCATCTTTCTTCTCAGCATTGTAGGGAAGCTGCTTGCTTGTGTTGTGCTGAAGAGGCTCCAGGTGCTTGCAGACAGAGTCTATCCAGAATCACAGTGTGGATTTCAAGCCAATAGATTCACCACTGACATGGTAGTTTCCTTCAGACAGCTGCAGGAGAAATGCAGGAAACAACATCCACTCTTTGTGGCCTTCATAAATCTTACAAAGGCCTTTGACTTAGTTAGCAGGGATGGCCTTGTTAAAATACTTCCCAAGATTGGATGTCCACCTCGGCTCCGTAACATCATCCGGTCCTTTCATGAGGGAATGAAGGGCGCTGTAGTTTTTGATGCCTCAACATCAGATCCCTTTGACATCCAAAGCAGAGTGAAACAGGGCTGTGTCCTCGCACCAACCCTTTTTGGGATATTTTTTGCTGTCATGCTGAAGCAGGCCTTTGGAACTGGAACAGAAGGTGTTTATCTCTGGACTACATCAGACAGAAAGCTCTTTCATCTCTCTAGATTGTGAGGACCAAAGTCCAACTGAAATGCATATGGGACTTCCTCTTCGCGATGATGCAGCCATTGTTGCTCACTCTGCTGAAGACCTACAACAACTCATGAATTGTTTTAGCAAGGCCTGCCAAGACTTTGAACTAACAGTCAGCCTGAAGAAAATACAAGTTATGGGTCAGGTCGTGGACTCACCTCCCTCTATTACCATCTCTACTCAAGAATTGGAGGTTGTTCATGAATTTGTGTACCTTGGCTCAACGACCTCTGACACACTCTCCCTAGATTTCGAGCTGGATAAACACATTGGCAATGCAGCTACCATGTTCTCAAGACTCATAAAGAGAGTATGGCTCAATAGGAAGCTGACAGCATACACCAAGATCCAGGTCTATAGAGCCTGTGACCTGAGCACACTCCTGTACTGCAGTGAGTCCTGGACCCTTTGTGCATGGCAGGAGAGGAAGCTGAACACCTTCCATATGCGTTGTCTCCGACACATCTTTGGTATCACCTGGCAGGACAAAGTTCCAAATAGAGTAGTCCTAGATTGAACTGGAATTTTTAGTATGTATACATTACTGAAACAGCAACATCTACGTTGGCTTGGGCATGTTGTGAGAATGGCTGATGGTCGGATTCCAAAAGATCTCATGTATGGAGAATTAGTGTGGGGAAATCGCCCCAGAGGGAGACCACAGCTGAGATACAAGGATATCTTCAAACAGGATCTGAAGGCCTTGGAAATGGACCTCAACAGATGGGAAACCCTGACATCTGTGTTCAGCCTGGAGGCAGGCCTCTCCCAATTTTGCCTCCAGCAGGTCGAGGCAAAAAGGCAGTCACGAAAGCAGCAAAATCAGGGAGCTAGACAGGGTACAGATTTTATTTCTCTTCAATGTGGAAGGGATTGTCACTCTCGAAATGGCCTTCTCAGCCACACTAGATACTGTTCCAAGTCCTCCATGCAGAACACAATACCATAGTCTCTTGAGACTGAAGGATGCCTAATCTAGACACGTCTCTAACCCCCTCTTGTTTAGACTCCACAGTCTTTTTTTCTTAAAATCAGAAAATATTCTGTGAGGGTCTGTGCTGGCTGTTGATGCAGGCAGACTGTAAAATGTAATTTAGACTCTTTTTGTGATAAGGAGTTCGCAGCTGGAATAATGCTTG